GTCGATTGTGTTTACACTCACGACAAAAATAGAAATAAGTTAAATAGATGTATAACTTGATATTGCTTAAGTGGAATTAGAATGAAACATTCCCGTATTTAAAAGGACACAACTTTGAATGATTTAATATTTCCTGTATAACAAGTCCCATTACTTCATACAGCCAGAGACCATAAAATATTTTATGGTCTCTGAAACAACGAATCAATAAGTTCTTTAAGATAGAAATGCTTTGACTTCATATTCATATGTGATTTGATCTCCGAAAGTCCACCCAGTTGGTAGTCAGAAACCTTATACAGGTTGCTGCTATATCATAATCTCGCATGCTGGAGTAGTCATGAATGTTATTATGTATGAAAAAGGAAATTGTCAATTCACAACCTATATGTTGGCCGTGAGTTGATGCATTTGCTAAAAATGAGATGGATACATTGAAAAAACCCGCAGCATTTGATGTAAATGACGACGACGTTGCTGTTGCTGCTGCTGATGATGATAAATTGTATGAATGCCGAATTGACTGTGTTAAATCATTGAAGCCAAAGAAACCTAAATTACAGAAAAAGCAAAGTTTGCAACTGACCTGCAATTTTCGGTAATTTGTGACACAGCCATTTGTAAGCCATGTATCTCTTGGTAAACTCGCAATCTCTTTGGTAAACTCGCGTACTAGGTGTTTATGTAAAGTTAGTGGAGTCTGGTCTAGGGGGTCCTGTTTAGTTATGATTTCATGCAACTGTTTTTGCAGCCAAATAATCACCACTTGCTTCTATAGTCTGTCTCTCAGTCCCTGAACCATATTATTTTCCCTTCCGGCCAACCCTTTCTGTAATGCAAAAGCCCCAAATGAACCAAGTCTAGATTTTCCCTCAGGTCTTAATCTCCCAACTCACTGGGGCTCCTTTTCAATTAAGTGGAATTATTTGTTACTTTCATAATTATATATTTTCAGAGACTAAACGTTAGTCCAATGTTTCTATGATATTACAGCCTGGAGACTGGTGGTCATTTCATTGTCAGACCGCCTCCGTGGTCGGAAGAGCGGAAGGTCTGGGGTTTGATCCCCGGCCGCGTCATACCAAAAGACGTTAAAAGATGGTACTTGTTGCTCTCGGCATTAAGGGGCTAAAACAAGGACTGGTCGGCTCGGGGTCAGTATACTGTGTCTGAGTTAGGTATTCATGTTAAACTGCGGCATGGTATCCCAGTGGGCTGGCACTATAAATCGGCATCAGTCCGGACTAGTACAAGCAGCCACAAACACACACGTGCATGCACGTCGCTATATAAGTGCAATAAGCTTGGACGCGACGTTAAACCCAATTTCACCTCACCTCATTTCATTGTCTGAATGTGACAACCCTACTGGGCTGTGGGCCTTATACTTGTAGGCCTACTGGGCAATTGTCCACTTGTCCACAAAACATATAGCCTCGGTGACATAATACTGAGTGCAAGATGTGAAACTGAGACACAGTCCCATCGTAATTAGGGTGGTCGTTAACTGATATGTTGATTTACATCGTCAGTGTCGGCAAACTAACAAAGAGTGTTAGGGCTTGAACCCAACCTTCTATCGCACTGCCGAAGGTCGAGTGTCCTATACTGAATAAATTAAGACCACCCACTTTCAGAGACCCTCCCTAATTACAGACAACGAGAACGTTATACAATTACAACTGTAGTATTATACAGCCTTTAACAAAAATGTCAGGATCTTCGGAGTCATCGAACTCCAAGGGTCCTATACACATCATGCAGTTCAGTGAAATTCGTTATAAAGTGAGGCGATGTGAAATGGGGTTTGTCGTCGCGTTCAAGATTATTGCTCGTATACAACGACGTGTGTGCGGGACCACTAACTACAAACGTAATTACGTTATAAGATCATGGACTGTCAAAGAAATTTCATTATGGGCCCAAGGAAAGTATAGCTTATAGCTTATAGCTTATACGTGACCAAGGGCTGCCAGGGGAATGACGTTTTGGGGGCCAGGAGCTACAAAAGAAATGCCGTCAGGAGATCACGGACAACAAAGGGGAGTAGATTCTGACACTGCCGACTAATAAGGAAATCAGTTATAAAATCACGGACTGCCATTTGCAAGGGTTCTCTCATTAGTTATACACACCATTGGTCACACACTCCGATTTTGCCAGTTGTCACACAGAGGAAATGGTGATCAAGTAAGACACCTACGGTTGTAATGGAATAATCAAATATACTTTTATTAGGCCGGCATGAGATAAAACGCTGAGACACCTTTAGTCGCAGTTCAGATGATTAACATGTTGGAAAACACAATGTTAAGGGAACTAAAAACTAAACCTGAAATAACTAATCCAGTAAAACTGACTATAAAACAACACTCAGTATTTGATCTACTTTTACTTTCAGTTTGGCAATTCTGCAAGGATGAGATGCTGGGCAAGCTAGAGTTACAGTTTAGATAACTGATCCATATTGGAAGATTTCTGTCACTGTAAATTAACTCAATGATCATGTAACTCACTATAAATAGACGATACTCATTGATCTTCCAGCTTAGTGTATAAGTGCTGACTTGTCCTTTGACTCCAAGATTGGCTGGTTGGTTTGTTTGTTTGTTTGTTGTTTAACGCTGCACTTAGCAATATTCCAGCTGTGTGACAGCGGTCTGTAAATAATCGAGTCTGGACTAGACAGTCCAGTGATTGACACCATGAGCATTGATCCTTGTGGTGAGTGGATGGATAACTGATGGCCATCTTGTGATGAGTAGATGGCCTGTTGGTGGCTACCTTGTGATAGTGGATTGCCTGTTTGTGACCTCCTTGTAGTGAGTGGATGGCTAACTGGATGCCTCCTTGTGGTGAGAGGATGGCCTGTTGGTGTCCTCCTTGTGGTGAGTGGATGGCCTGTTTGCGACCTCCTTGTGGTGAGTAGATGGCTAACTGGATGCCTCCTTGTGGTGAGTGGATGGCCTGTTTGCGACCTCCTTGTGGTGAGTGGATGGCTAACTGGATGCCTCCTTGTGGTGAGTGGATGGCCTGTTTGCGACCTCCTTGTGGTGAGTGGATGGCTAACTGGATGCCTCCTTGTGGTGAGTGGATGGCTAACTGGATGCCTCCTTGTGGTGAGAGGATGGCCTGTTGGTGTCCTCCTTGTGGTGAGTGGATGGCCTGTTTGCGACCTCCTTGTGGTGAGTAGATGGCTAACTGGATGCCTCCTTGTGGTGAGAGGATGGCCTGTTGGTGTCCTCCTTGTGGTGAGTGGATGGCCTGTTTGCGACCTCCTTGTGGTGAGTAGATGGCTAACTGGATGCCTCCTTGTGGTGAGTGGATGGCTAACTGGATGCCTCCTTGTGGTGAGTGGATGGCTAACTGGATGCCTCCTTGTGGTGAGTGGATGGCCTGTTGGTGTCCTCCTTGTGGTGAGTGGATGGCCTGTTTGCGACCTCCTTGTGGTGAGTAGATGGCTAACTGGATGCCTCCTTGTGGTGAGTGGATGGCCTGTTGGTGTCCTCCTTGTGGTGAGTGGATGGCCTGTTTGCGACCTCCTTGTGGTGAGTAGATGGCTAACTGGATGCCTCCTTGTGGTGAGTGGATGGCCTGTTGGTGTCCTCCTTGTGGTGAGTGGATGGCCTGTTTGCGACCTCCTTGTGGTGAGTAGATGGCTAACTGGATGCCTCCCTGTGGTGAGTAGATGGCTAACTGGATGCCTCCTTGTGGTGAGTGGATGGCTCACTGGAGGCCTCCTTGTGGTGAGTGGATGGCCTGTTGGATGCCACCTTGTGGTGAGTGGATTGCCTGTTGGTGGCCTCCTTGTGGTGAGTGGATGGCCTGTTGGTGGACACCTTGTGGTGAGTAGATGGCCTGTTGATGGCCACCTTGTGGTGAGTGGATGGCCTGGTGGTGGCCACCTTGTGGTGAGTGGATGGCTAACTGGATGCCTCCTTGTGGTGAGTGGATGGCTAAATAGATACCTCCTTGTGGTGAGTGGATGGCTAACTGGAGGCCTCCTTGTGGTGAGTGGATGGCCTGGTGGTGGCCTCCTTGTGGTGAGTGGATGGCCTGTTGGTGGACACCTTGTGGTGAGTGGATGGCTAAATGGAAGCCTCCTTGTGGTGAGTGGATGGCTAACTAGAGGCCTCCTTGTGGTGAGTGGATGGCCTGGTGGTGGCCTCCTTGTGGTGAGTGGATGGCTAAATGGATGCCTCCTTGTGGTGAGTGGATGGCTAAATGGATGCCTCCTTGTGGTGAGTGGATGGCTAACTGGAGGCCTCCTTGTGGTGAGTGGATGGCCTGGTGGTGGCCTCCTTGTGGTGAGTGGATGGCTAAATGGATGCCTCCTTGTGGTGAGTGGATGGCTAAATGGATGCCTCCTTGTGGTGAGTAGATGGCCTGTTGGATGCCACCTTGTGGTGAGTGGATTGCCTGTTGGTGGCCTCCTTGTGGTCAGTGGATGGCTAACTGGAAGCCTCCTTGTGGTGAGTGGATGGCCTGGTGGTGGCCTCCTTGTGGTGAGCGGACGGCTTGTTGGTGGCCTCCTTGTGGTGAGTGGATGGCCTGTTGGTGGACACCTTGTGGTGAGTGGATGGCTAACTGGAGGCCTCCTTGTGGTGAGTGGATGGCCTGGTGGTGGCCTCCTTGTGGTGAGTGGATGGCTAAATGGATGCCTCCTTGTGGTGAGTGGATGGCTAAATGGATGCCTCCTTGTGGTGAGTAGATGGCCTGTTGGATGCCACCTTGTGGTGAGTGGATTGCCTGTTGGATGCCACCTTGTGGGGAGTGGATGGCCTGTTGGTGGCCTCCTTGTGGAGAGTAGACAGCTTATTGGAGGCCTCCTTGTGGTGAGTGGAAGGCCTGTTGGTGGACTCCTTCTGGTGAGTGGATGGCCTGTTGGTGTACTCCTTGTTATGAATAGAACTTCTGACAAAAGGTGTGTGCAGTTGAACATAATTTACTTACTTTTTTACTTTCAGATAACACCTACTAAAAAATACAAACACCATTACTTTATGTAAAATATATTTTTTATTTTTATCCAACAAGATCAATTACCACTGAAATGTGCCAACTGAGCAACTTTCACACATATTCTTTATAGGTATCACAAGGTAATTCAAAACCACATATCTGGTTAAAACTTTATGCTCAGTTGCAGTTTACATATCAAACAATAAACAAGTACCAAAAACAGAAACACACATATATACAATTTAGCCTTCTTGTAAAACACATTTGGCCCATTGCACTGATTGATGAAACTCAACAAAATACAGTTACTGTTAACAGATGTAATTTTCTTATTTACCAATGCATTAATATCAAGACTTTTTGATACAATTTTGAAATCTGAATTTATGCAAGATCATAAACAAAATCATAAAAAATGGATGTCAAAGTCCTCTAAAACTATACACCTGGTCCAGTTTTTAACTCTCAAACTTCTCAATAATGTATCTATTCTATTTTTCACACATACTATTCCCCTGACCACTGTTGACTAAGGGGGAAGAGTCCACCATCCTGGCAGTCTCCATGGCCACACAAGATAAACATTCACGCATTATATACCTCATTTAGTCATTTGACATGTCTCTATGGAAGAATATTTTATCACAGAAAATAAATTCATTTGTGATAAACTAAAAAAACAACAAAACAATATTAAATAACGCTTAACATACCAAGCAGTACTTATTTTAGTAAAATATTTCATATCCTTAGGCAATACGATTAATTCTGTCACCTCCTTAAGCAGCTGAAAGTTGGCAGGACAGGTCCTAGTCGTGTAATCTTGTCTTATTATATCATGATGTGAACACATGTAAAACTGGACTAGTACTGTGGTAAGTGACTGAGTGAGTTGGTTTATATGCTGCTATGAACAATATTCCAGTTATATCACGGCGTGTCAGTGTCAAGCCACAAAGTGATACAGGACTCAGACATTTACAACTTTAGTGAGACCAACAAGAATGAGCATGGTGCTGACAAAACCTAGAAACAGAATTGGGGCGAACCTGGATTGAAACTCACAAGGGACACAACTCTGCACAGTAGTTTAGACAACTGAGCCATCCATGCCGCCCAACTAAAGGAAGTATTGGCTTTGACATTTTGCAGTGATAACTGTCAAAAATACTATCATCTTGTGGTTTGCATTATGTTTGTCAATGCACAGAAAATACATGATATGATATAACTTATAAACATATTACTGTAGAACATGAAAATGCTGATTTTATCACTAAGAATTACATTATCATTCCACAAGACACATGCATCAGAAAATATCTTGACACTGTGTGCTAAGAACCACATTATTTGTGTAACATGTTTTGGTGTGATAGTTAATGCCATGAGGTCGCTACATCTAGTATTACATCTATCAGGGCATAAAGAAGAGCACATGTTCACATGGTAACAACAGTCCCCCCTGTTTTAAGAGAATGCACCATTGACTTTTGAGAGATCAGATTTCCTTTCAAATCTGTAAGGCTCCTGGTAGTCAGTTCCTATCTTGTTGTGTTGTTATAAACAATAACAACTGTATGAACAATGATGAACGGAAATAAATAAATAATTTCTTTGAAAATGACACTCTCCCATGTCAGAACAAATATATCCACCATTATATAAATTGATGATATGTTTTCCAGTGACATGAAAGACCCATCACTTGCAATTCTGATACTTTTTATCACATTTGTCGTGAACTTGTTGTCAAGAAAACTCATTAAAATTAGTGACAATAAAAAAAAATTTAAACAGATTTATGAGCCTACCATATATTGAAAGAAATATTCTTATAACCTTCCTACTTTCTGACCCATAATTGTTAACTTATACTCCCAAGGGAGCTGAGAATGTACTTTGAGTGCACACTGATCCATTGAATAGACTACCGGTAATACTTCTGTAGCTCTATGCTTCTGTGCATGGATGCAGTTATTATTCTTATTCCTATTACCTCAATCACACACATTCTGGGAGCATAAAGTGGTCCACATAGAAGACAGTATGACAACCCAATAAAGACTGTGTACATAGCAAACAAAATTAACATTCAGCATCATTGTGAGATATCCCAGTAAACTGAATGATTTATTTATTTATACATGCCGGGGGTTCCTCTTCATCATGCTAATAGCATGTCCCCGTAACCAATAGATTCCTATTCATATATCTATGTGCCATAATTTTCAAACTTTCTTCCTTAGAACGTCCAGGTCATCGTAAAAGGAACTAGCATCTTGGCTCGGAACTCCGTCACGTATATCAACTGAAATAAACATAAATCGTTTTTAATAACATTTATATATTGTAGTGAGTTTGGTTATTGCCACTTTGAACAGTGTTTCAGTTATATCGAGGTGTCAGATGGACGTGCGAGAAAAGCACATGATGCAAGTATTACTCAACTTAGTTGTGTACAACCTTGGTGAAACCAATGAGCATGGGTCTGGTGCTGACAAACCAAGAAACATATCAGGGTGAACTGTTATTTGACTTCATGATTTTAGATTTCAGGCACACCTTTGGGAGTCAATTCTGCACTGACAATTGTAGTGCCTTAGATGACGGGCCCACCTGCGCCCACCTAAAACTGTAGCAGTCACAACTATATTTCACATTTTGTACAATGACATCTATGACTTTGAAAAGGTCAAGATTATAATAAAGATGTAACAGAGCAGGTCCCTAGTGCTCAAGGAATGCCCAGCTGACAATGACTTAGAAAGTCGGATGTTTAAAATGGCTGCTGAGCATATGAACAGGTCTGACACTACCAGGATGTGTGGCTAAGGGGAGACAACTCTAAGCTGTGACTAAATGACACCTTCATTTGAACCTTTATCCAAATAGTTATCACCTTAGTAATCATGGTAATGTAAAATCTATGAATTAAAAAAAAATACACCAGAACAACAAAAAATCACCTTGCCAGATGTGTATACAGAGTTTCAAATAGAATGTGAAACAGTTTATGAGTTATACCTTCCCTTGTTTGTATGTAAAATGCATTCATGACTGATTTGTTACCATATTTATCTGAAGAAATATAGAGTGGTTCATGAGTTAATCTCTGGAAACGAACCTGACCCTCATGTGAACATAAGTCCACCTTGCAATCTCATTAAAATCAGATCTTAGTTCTCATCCCATTACGGGTCACGTCAGAACGACCTTTCATCCGACCAATCAGAGCATCGCTTACCAGATTATGAAAGTGACAGTCGGAATGTGACTTCTAATCATGTAACCTCAAAAACTTTAACTCCGAACAATAGTTACGGGTTTAACGACTGAATCCATACAATCTAGACCATATCTATTAGCCATTCCAGAATGTTCTTTTGTTCAGGTTTCAAATTTGTAATCGAGAATTTGTCAAAATATATTTCGAAGCGTAGTGACCAATTTGAAATTAGTGCCGTAAAGCAGGAGAAAGCTGCCTTCTGATTGGTCATTCCATTGGTAGGTCAAAGTTCGCGCAAGGTCGGTCTGACGTGACCCGTAATGGGATGTCCTCAGATCTTTGTTTAGCGGTAGCGAGAACTAAGATCTGATTTTAATGAGATTGGTCCACCTTGCTGCCATGGACATTTTTTATGAGTACTGATGATTTGCAGATGGATGTTTCTTTATCCAAGCAAAACTTTGTCTGGGTCGGGGATAACTGAGCATCAGTGTGAACTTCACCACATACCTCTTGGAAGCTGGAATATGTAAACTGAGTACGTATTCCGTTGACGGTGATGACCTTGGGTGGGGATGTGACCCCCAGCACAGTGACATTACCCAGGATCATGGGCTCCGCTGTGTAGCCGGCTTTGACGATGTTAGACTTCAGCGTGTTCTGAAAACAAGTTCATACACATTCAGTACCTTTCTGTGTTCAGATATTAAGGACTACTGTAAATCATGAAATGAATGCATCACCAACTGGCCGACTGTTCTAAAATGTGTCATAAATTTATGCGAGAAGTCCTTCCTTTGAACTAATCAACAAAGTATATAATATCACTTGCTATATTCACAAACTTAATTTCAGCTGCTTGACAAGAAATCAAAAGCAGGAAATTCCAATAGGGCATATCCAAACGATATAGGTCGGGATACTGACGAAGATTGCACAGGCTCCAAGTAATGTTACACCAGTTAGTGCCATCCTTTGATTTTGGTTGATTTGTTGTTTAACGCCGCAATTCAAGCTATATGACGGCGGTCTGTAAATAATCGAGTCTGGACCAGACGATTCAGTGATTAATATCATGAGCATTGATCCACGCAATTGGGATGACATGTATCAATGAAATCAGCGAGCTTGACCACCCGATCCCGTTAGTCACGTCTAACGACAAGCATAGTCACATTTTACGGCAAGCATGGATGCTGAAGACCTATTCTACCCCGGATCTTCAGCCATTCTTTGAACGTAAATGAGCAGTGTTATGTATTCCCCACTGCTATTGCTGCAAAAGACATGTTCACTACGGTGAGTTTACCAAGAAGAAATATGCTGTAATACACCATCTTCCCGAAACAAGGGGTTTAACTGACAATAGTTGTTTCCACAATCATTGGTAACATGGCAGACTTACATTTCTTGCAAAGAACTGGATCAAATTGTACTGCCCCTTCTCATAGGCGTCTGTGAGTGGAAAGAGAACATAATCAAATACCCTCTAAAACAGCAATAAGTATACCTATGACAACAACAGTTACCTTATGAATCATACATAACCATATTTGGAATACTTAAGGCATCTCTTTTCATATCCTATAAACAGCTCAGAACGATGATAAAGTGCTTTCATAGCATTCATAGTCAGATGACAGAAGGTATTTCATCCTTGGAGTTTAACCAAATGTTCTGATGCCATAAATTCTAGGGCTGAAACAGAACACTGTTTGCGATATGACACATATCCCGATAGTGAGGTCATGTTACAACTATATGACACATATCCCGATAGTGAGGTCATGTTACAACTATATGACACATATCCAGATAGTGAGGTCATGTTATAACAATATGACACACATCCCGATAGTGAGGTCATGTTACAACAATATGACACATATCCCGACAGTGAGGTCATGTTACAACTATCTGACACATATCCCAATAGCGAGGTCATGTTACAACTATCTGACATATTACCCGATAGTGAGGTCATGTTACAACAATATGATACACAGCCCGATAGAGAGGTCATGTTACAACTATATGACACATATCCCGATAGTGAGGTCATGTTACAACAATATGACACATATCACAATAGTGAGGTCATGTTACAACTATATGACACATATCCCGATAGTGAGGTCATGTTACAACTATCTGACACATATCCCAATAGCGAGGTCATGTTACAACTATATGACACATATCCCGATAGTGAGGTCATGTTACAACTATATGACACATATCCCGATAGTAAGGTCATGTTACAACAATATGACACACATCCCGATAGTGAGGTCATGGTACAACTATCTGACACATTACCCGATAGTGAGGTCATGGTACAACAATATGACACATATCCTGATAGTGAGGTCATGTTACAACAATATGACACACATCCCAATAGTGAGGTCATGTTACAACAATATGACACATACAAACTCAGCACTAGTGGCAAGGCAAACGCAGATATATTTACTATCAATGTAAGAAACTCTTTATTTGTACACATTGACATTGATTAAGGATGAGAATACACACATTGGTTCTCAGGCAATGGCTTTTGAAACAATAGTTCAAGCGGGTGTATTTCACCCTGTGAAAGCAACTCCTACATAAATGTATTCCTTGATGAGTAAAATACTGGAATAGAGTATTTGACAAACGTTAGACTTGGAATATTCAAGGATGTTTTTTATTTTTTTTAAAAATGGAAATAAAAACAGAACATGCTGCAAACTTTATGATGATGTGGGCGGTGCCAGAGAACCAAGTCTATAATTTTTTTAGCCATATATACAATGCCAGTATGGTTAGTATTTTCATCAGTAATGAGTAACTAATTTATCAGAGTATCACCCAAGCAGAGACAGGACCTACCCACAGAATCTCCATCATCCCAGTACAGCTCACCCTTGGCAAACAGGGGGCTGCGAGGCATTGCTACTACCAACCAGAAATTATTTTTTCGACTGTGAAAAGAAAATGAAAACAATATATGGATGAAATTCAACTTCATAATAAGAAATTGACTTTAATATGCATTGCGTTTATGGAGTTACAATCTTTAAAAATATGTGTGCACATGGATTTCCTCAACGTTTGCACACCATTTTCCAGGTTAAAACCTCCACAAACACAGAATATTGAACATGTTGAAGTCAATTCTTATAAGAATAATAAAGTCTAGAATAATAACTTCAAAACTGCTTATTTAAACACTTAACACAAGAACTTGGACAACAAAATGATATAAAATCAGTGTCATCGTTCAGTGCAATAATGCAGCACAAGCCCTGCCCCCTCCATTATCAACCAATCAGGAAACAGTGATCTGCTAGTGGGTGTGGCCTACATTGCTTTAGGTCAATGGAAACATTACTCCACAAAAAATGTTTATCCAATCAAATGCCAAGACATCACTTGCATCTTTACATACAATATTAAACAATATGTGATGTTTTTAACACTACTAACATGAACATATTCATATTACGTAAGGGGGGGGGGGGGGGGGGGGGGAATATACAGTAAACTATGGTTATAACAAACTCAAAGGGACCACTAATTTTAGGAATTATTTTTAGTAATTCTCACTGAGGATTATAAAAATGTATTTCATTGCTTTCAAGAGGCTCATTGAAATGTAACTTCATATGAATGCATTGTCACAAATAACTGAGGAGGAGTTATGGAGTATATTTCCCTCACCATGGATCTTAACTTATAAAATTAATTCATTCTGGACAGATAATCCAACATTCTCCAAATTTTGTGCTGCCTATTACTTCAATTTGGTGTAGATAATCCCTTCCCATTACCAAACAATAAAGCTCATTTTTGACACAAGTAATTAAATGCAATGACTCCAGTATGATTTCCTCTGTTATTAATAAAGACCATCCATGGGAGTAACATGTTAATCCAAACAGCATGGTCTACAGCATCAATGAGGGAACGAGGTTGGTTTGCTGCATCAATGATGTCAGTACATATCAATTTTCTTAAAGGATTTTCTTTTCCAATCCTAATGGTATTATTCAAAACTCAAATTCAGTTGACTGTAAACCAGTACCTCTGTGTTGTCGTGAGCGCTGGCTCCTGCATGGGGATGATGTAGCCACCCCTGAAGTTGAGGTTGATGAAGTTCATGGGTGCAGGGAGGTAGAAGGTGCCACCAGTGTCGGTCATCCGACGCCCATTGGAGAAGTAGAACCAAGTGGAGCGAGGGAAATATGCAGGCACACGGGTCATATTCTGAAACCATGGCAGAAGGAAAATGATGAAGAATGGAGAGAGTCACGGAAGATTGAAAGTATTAAATCATAGGAAAGTGACATGAACTCACGGAAGATTGAAAGTATTAAATCATAGGAAAGTGACATGAACTCACGGAAGATTGAAAGTATTAAATCATAGGAAAGTGACATGAACTCACGGAAGATTGAAAGTATTAAATCATAGGAAAGTGACATGAACTCACGGAAGATTGAAAGTATTAAATCATAGGAAAGTGACATGAACTCACGGAAGATTGAAAGTATTAAATCATAGGAAAGTGACATGAACTCACGGAAGATTGAAAGTATTAAATCATAGGAAAGTGACATGAACTCACGGAAGATTGAAAGTATTAAATCATAGGAAAGTGACATGAACTCACGGAAGATTGAAAGTATTAAATCATAGGAAAGTGACATGAACTCACGGAAGATAGAAAGTATTAAATCATAGGAAAGTGACATGAACTAACGGAAGATTGAAAGTATTAAATCATAGGAAAGTGACATGAACTCACGGAAGATTGAAAGTATTAAATCATAGGAAAGTGACATGAACTCACGGAAGATTGAAAGTATTAAATCATAGGAAAGTGACATGAACTCACGGAAGATTGAAAGTATTAAATCATAGGAAAGTGACATGAACTCACGGAAGAGAGAAAGTATTAAATCATAGGAAAGTGACATGAACTCACGGAAGATTGAAAGTATTAAATCATAGGAAAGTGACATGAACTCACGGAAGATTGAAAGTATTAAATCATAGGAAAGTGACATGAACTCACGGAAGATTGAAAGTATTAAATCATAGGAAAGTGACATGAACTCACGGAAGATTGAAAGTATTAAATCATAGGAAAGTGACATGAACTCACGGAAGATTGAAAGTATTAAATCATAGGAAAGTGACATGAACTCACGGAAGATTGAAAGTATTAAATCATAGGAAGTGACATGAACTCACGGAAGAGAGAAAGTATTAAATCATAGGAAAGTGACATGAACTCACGGAAGATTGAAAGTATTAAATCATAGGAAGTGACATGAACTCACGGAAGAGAGAAAGTATTAAATCATAGGAAAGTGACATGAACTCACGGAAGATTGAAAGTATTAAATCATAGGAAGTGACATGAACTCACGGAAGAGAGAAAGTATTAAATCATAGGAAAGTGACATGAACTCACGGAAGATTGAAAGTATTAAATCATAGGAAAGTGACATGAACTCACGGAAGATTGAAAGTATTAAATCATAGGAAAGTGACATGAACTCACGGAAGATTGAAAGTATTAAATCATAGGAAAGTGACATGAACTCACGGAAGATTGAAAGTATTAAATCATAGGAAAGTGACATGAACTCACGGAAGATTGAAAGTATTAAATCATAGGAAAGTGACATGAACTCACGGAAGATTGAAAGTATTAAATCATAGGAAAGTGACATGAACTCACGGAAGATTGAAAGTATTAAATCATAGGAAAGTGACATGAACTCACGGAAGATTGAAAGTATTAAATCATAGGAAAGTGACATGAACTCACGGAAGATTGAAAGTATTAAATCATAGGAAAGTGACATGAACTCACGGAAGAGAGAAAGTATTAAATCATAGGAAAGTGACATGAACTCACGGAAGATTGAAAGTATTAAATCATAGGAAAGTGACATGAACTCACGGAAGAGAGAAAGTATTAAATCATAGGAAAGTGACATGAACTCACGGAAGATTGAAAGTATTAAATCATAGGAAAGTGACATGAACTCACGGAAGAGAGAAAGTATTAAATCATAGGAAAGTGACATGAACTCACGGAAGAGAGAAAGTATTAAATCATAGGAAAGTGACATGAACTCACGGAAGAGAGAAAGTATTAAATCATAGGAAAGTGACATGAACTCACGGAAGAGAGAAATGATACAGTCATGGAAGAGTGAACATGTACTTGCAGGAAAGCGAAAGTAAGTCATGGGTGAGGTGAGGTGAAATGGGGTTTAACACCAAGTTCAAGATTATTGCACTTATATATCGACATGCATGTGTTGTGTGGCTGCTTGTACTAGGCTAGACTAATGCCAGTTATATTGTGCTAGCCAGTTATATTGTGCTAGCGCACTGAGATACCATGTCGCAGTTTAACATGAATACCCTACTCAGACACAGTATACTGACTCCGAGCCGACCAGTCCTTGTTTTAGCCCTGTAATGCCGACCGCCAGACAGGATAACAACATGTACCATTTTTTAACATCTTTTGGTATGACGCAGCCGGGGCTCTACCACCAGACCATGGTGGCGGAAGATTGGTAACATGAACTCCCTGAGTGAAAGGATCACCTCATGAATGAGTAACAGCAGGAACTAGGCCCCATAATGCACTTGTACAATGTTTAGTGTCACATGATTAAAATGAATCAAATTTAAATAAAAACGTATTTGGTGCTGCATGTGATGTTGGATAAATTGCCCTTGTGCATCAACTACAACAGTTAAGGACAAACTACATTTTAAAACAATACACATTAGGGTAGCGCAAATTGTATTCTTTTATCATGATTCGAACAGTCAATAGATTACAACTCAAGTCTGGTCTTGTGAACCTTCTTATGGACTTGTCCAGTTGCTCGTGTGTTGTGCAGTTAGCATGGTTAGGGTACATTACTGAATTCTGATTTCAGACGGTTTGATTTCTGCAGTACTCTACACTACAGCGATAGAAGGTACAGGAGGTATAGTTCATGATGGGATTTGAAGCATGGACCTTCTGATATGGGGTCAGGCACCTTGTCCACATGTTTAGGAAGTACCGGTAATACTGTTAACAAGCTGACAATAATGTCATCCACAGAATGAATCCATGCCCTGCTACACTCTGAAAGTCGGTAAATATTTACTGATTGAAATAAGTAATTCGCTTATAGGAACAATAAATAGTCATGCTTGATAATTATGTCAAATGTTGATTTCATAACAGGTCATTGATGTATTTCCATGTACAATTTCAATGTATCAACAATCTGACATACAGCCAGTGAATGATCAAGATTGCTTTCACACTGCAGTCAGCAATATTCCAGTTTTAATGCATGAGAAAGATCCAAGCCGTCAGGGTAGAACAGGCCCTCAGTAAGTGGTCCTGAAATGGACTGAGTGGTTAGGCTTGGTGATTTGGTTGACCGCATGTCATAGCTACCCCATGGCTTGGGATGCTGATGATATTACTTTCTACTTTGTTGGGTCCAGTGTCGAAAATTTACTGGCAGCCATCAGATAGCTGTAATAATGCATAGTATCGCATAAATAACAAGTAAATGATGACACACAATCAGCCTGACAACACATGGTTACCATTAACTGTTACACCCCTTGTTTCCAGTGTCCTGCTCTATCTCACCTGTTCCAGCGCTGGGGAGATCATGAGAGCTGGCCCCCACATGAACTGTTTGTCAACAGTGTACGAAAACTTGTCCTCTGGGAATCTGGGGAATAGAGGGTGACACATGTACTTGTTGACACCTGTCTTGTCCATGTTTTCCATTCACAGACCAATCTACCCTCATGGCAACAAGTAGTGTTAAACTTGCCATCTCTCAATTATATGATTAGCATAACATAATGTTTGTTTGTTTGCTTGTTTTTTAACGCCACACTATAAATATAAATAATGGAGGTCTGTTAATAACCGAGTCTGGACCTGCCAATCCAGTGATTGACATTATGAGCATCCATCTATGCAATTGGGATACAATCACAGGCATCAGCGAGTCTGACAACCCGATCCCATTAATTGTCTCTTATGACAAGCATGGGTTGCTGAAGACCAATTCCAACACAGATCTTCATGTTGGGTAGGGTAATAAGAAGAAAATTGTAAGGATGACAAATTTCTTGACACTGTGGCAACAGGACACGATGTCAGGAAGGTTACCATATTTGTATGAATCATATATTGGTCACTTACTCCATAAAGACTGGCCTGGCTACAGTATCCCCCATGGTGTGACTCTTGAAGAACAGCGTGTAGAGGTATGGCAGGAGGGAGTACCGGATCCGGTACACACTCCGTGTCGAGTCCAGCATGGACTCACTGAAGGCAGTCGGGTCTTGGTCCTGAAATCACACGTCAACTCTGTCATAAACAAAAACATTACACTAAAGACTTTTGTCTTATTGTCAGTGACATTAACCATTGGTTAGAATTCTTTACTACCATAGGAACTGGATGATTCAAGCAATGCAACTTTTCTAAAGTATGTCGATACGTGGATATTGAAATGTTCTCAGAATTGTCTGGAAAAAATAATTTACCCACCCCATTCCCTGCACTTTCCATCAGTTGTATCCCCCTACCTCTCCACCCACCCCTACCTATCTGCACCTCAATGTTCCCCCTGCAACTACCGGCAGCTGTATGAGCTTCACACCTACCTGCACCTCAATCTCCCCCTGCAGCTGTATGCCCCCTCCCCTGCAACTACCAGCAGCTGTATGTGCCCTCCCCTGCACCTACCGCCAGCTGTATGGCCTCTCCTCTGCACCTACCAGAAGCTGTATGGCCCCTCCCCTGCACCTATCGGCAGCTGTATGCTCTCTTCCTGCACCTACCAGAAGCTGTATGGCCCCTCCCCTGCACCTACCAGCAGCTGTATGGCCTCTCCCCTGCACCTACCTGCAGCTGTATGCCCCCTCCCCCTTGACCTACCGGCAGCTGTATGGCCCCTCCCCTGCACCTACCAGCAGCTGTATGGCCTCTCCCCTGCACCTACCTGCAGCTGTATGCCCCCTCCCCCTTGACCCACCGGCAGCTGTATGGCCCCTCCCCTGCACCTACCAGCAGCTGTATGCCCCTCCCCTGTAGCTGTATAGCCCCCTTCCCCTTGACCTACCAGCAGCAGTATGGCCTCTCCCCTGCACCTACCTGCAGCTGTATGCCCCTTCCCCCTTGACCTACCGGCAGCTGTATGCCCCTCCCCTGCACCTACCAGCAGCTGTATAGCCCCCTTTCCCTGCACCTACCAGCAGCTGTATGGCCCCTCCCCTGCACCAACAGATAGCTGTATGGCCCCACCCCTGCACCTACCGGCTGGTGCTGATCATTGTGACTCCTGGAGAAAGGGTAGAAAGCTCCCAGCTGGTACCAGCGCTGACACAGCGCCTCATTTGTAGCATGTCTGAACCCACAAATGTCTGAACCCACCATGGGTATTCCGAACATGTTAAAACTCAGGATATCTGAAATGTAAGTACACTACCATAGCATGTTGGTACATGCGATCGAGACAATCCAATCATGGTCTAAAATTTTATCTATGATTTGATGTTTTTTTCAAGTAATCTTTCATGAATTACCAAATCTGTTGATCACTCAAATCATTCTGTAAAATCATGTGTAAAATAACTACAATAGTTGTAATTTGTGCAATTGCTCATGTTTATACCTGTCACTTATTATTAAATTTATGCATTAAAACTGACATTGTAAACACACCACTCCTGAAACAGATGTATTTTGTTGTTGATTAATACTATTGAGTCCTGACAAAATTTTCTTGCATATCAATCATTTGTGCCCTGATAATTTTGAGATCTGTAGTAAAATTCATATTTCTCCAAGTATAGACTATCCTGGCATGCAAACATACCAGGCTCCACTGACAAACACCATTTAAACCTCACTCACCCGAGATGGACTTGTACATGTCGTAGTATGTGGCATCATTGTCTCCGGTCCAGTGACCGCCAAAGTGACCCTGACTAGGGAAGGTAGATCGGGATATTATAAATGGCCTCTTTCCAGGCCTAGCTGCCAGGAGAGCTCTGGAATAGATAATTTAGTTTTCTGGGCAAGGTGAAATCAAACAATAGTTATCATTGTGTATAATTCTAAGAATACTACCTCTATTACATCATAGCCATAAATTCCTGTTTATAATCACACTATAAAATTTTCAATGTCCATATCACTGCCAACATATCTAATAGTTGTGAGGGAAACCTATCCTTCACAGGAAATGCAACTGTGCATGTGCAAGGCAATTTGTTGGCAGGTTGTGAATAGGTCGAGATGTGTATCCCAGACTGAGGCCATCCACTTGAATATCCCTGGATGGTGTGCCCATTCTGTGGGCACGATCTTGTTCTTCCAGGATAAGCAACCTGCAAGTATGTCTAACATGCTGGTTTTTGATGTGCTTCCATCCTGCAGCTCACTGTGTCTGCCAAGGAATATAAACATGTAACCTCCTTCAACAAAGGCTGTGACCTCATGTAGTCTTGGTGCTGTATGTATGCTACCAATGTTGTCAGTACTGATGAATGGTGCAGCTGAACTTGCCATGCTTGGGTAGCTATAAATATCGCACTCATTTCAGGATGGTTGATGTGTAATTCCCTGTTCTGGCTAGACCATTTCTACTGTCTCTTGGTGTCACCATGTGAGTGCCCCATCCCTAATTAAATGTGTCCCTGTAGAGGGGATGTGGAAGTGAGAAAAATGAGAAGTATACTTGGCATGATGTTTTGACAAAGTAGACACCAATTTAGTTCCGACAGCTGAGCTGGAAGAGTGTGTGAGTATGGTTTTACGCCACTTTTAGAAATATTCCAGCAGCAATAACACAGCGGGGGACACCAGAAAGGGGCTTCACACATTGTACCCATGTCAGGAATTGAACCCGAGTCTTCGGCATGACAAGCGAACACTTTTACCACTAGGCTACCCGACCACCCCTTGAGATGGAAGAGGTTGAGGTTGAGTTAGTGCATCTAAGTCCCGCTCTTTGGTAGTGTAACTGTAGCCTGCCTATGGATGTGAGTGGACCTAGGCAAGGCATCCAAAAATGTTGAGACCTGATGGGCTGGAGGAGTGTGCTTAAGATCATGTCCTTTGCTCTTGCGTATGTGTCCTCTGGATGCCTTAGTGTGCCTTTCTTGAGCTGGAATCTCGCCCCCATATACACAATGTCTTGAGTGGTTTGTAATTATGACTTGTCGGGTGAACCAAGAAGCCCAGGTGTAATAGTAGTTGGATGAGAAAGGCTGCATTTTGCTTGAGGAAGAAGAAGATCCATGCTGAGAGCCTTCTGTTTTATTGATGTATGATGGGAAGGGAAAGGTGTGAAATTCTCCAGTATTAGGTACTGGTTCTTCATAGCCTGGAGGCTCTAAAAACAGCTTGGCAGTTAGCTCCTCCTTGTTGGTGGGACATAAGGCTGGCATCAAGTGATGTAACTCTTCAATGATGTCTTTGACTGTGTAGGCATAAAGGCATCCTCAGAAATAGATTCCATACGCAGCCGCATCCCCAAAGCAAAATGCGCTGGGGTGAGCTGTGATGACGTAGAGTAGTACTGTCTTTGTCATCAGATCTGTGGCTTAGGAGTGGGAGGAATGTATACTTTAATGTTGTGTGACATAACATCAACTTCACTATAACCTTATGCCTGGACCGCGTAACAATTTGAGATGGGACATGTTCTTGAGGTCCTGCATAAAGAATCTCTTTCAACGCGCCTCATGATGGTGAATAGATGGAGAGTGGAGTCCATCTCCATGCAAGTTGTGATGAGATGCCCGATGAGCATGCTCTTCCTCCCCTTGAGTGTAGAAGGACGGGGATATTTGAGATTCACATCACCTTCTAATGACCTTTCTATTGTCGTTGTAACTCGCTGACTCAGCTTGGCTGTGTGTTTGGTAGCTCTTAAAAATCGCCCTGCGATACTCAACCAAATCTATTATATCTATTCACAACTTCCAGTTGAGATACAGGTTTTCTTAGGTCAATAAACTTCTATGATACTGATTGCAAGCATTTGTCTATCATTTCAGACATGTATGAAATGATTTCATCCATGAACTCATTGATTAAAGGGGAGTGTAGTATCGGGTGGTGCTTCTTTCTAGCCAAGATAACCTACTGTAGCCGACAGGCTCAGACATATGTCAGTATGTCTGCTCCTTTACGAATATGGGAGGGTGGTATTAGCAGCGAGATCTCCCATCACAAGGAGAGACAGGGCCCCCACACAACACTCACAGTGTGGGTATCACACCAGATTCAGTCACTTTCCCCTTCTTATAAGTACTTGTTGAGGATGTAGACTTTTTTTGCTGACAACCGAGTGATTCTAGAATCAGTATTTTTGTGCCATGACATGGAGAGTTTGTCAAAAGTTTCTTTACACTATTCATTGCAGCCTGATGAAAATCTATAAAATTTTAGTGTAATTCTCAGCCTAAACAGGAATTTATGGCAATGATGTAATGGAGGTAGAGTATTTGAAGGAATTATAACGTGAATTTGACATGAAATTATCCCTTGAACCATCACCTGGATCCACCTTGAGGTTTTGTGATCATGTGACGGACATAGATACATACTGGTATGAAGCGTAGGTTTCCCCCAGGCCGTAAAGGTTGTGGACATTATAGGTGCGGGACAGATACTGCTTGGCTGAAGCACAGATGGTAGTGAACCTCAGTGAACCGCCTTTCACTCCTGAAATAATAGTCCAAGGTCATGCTGTAAACATGGTAAATATTGATAAATATTAAGTTTCTAATCAGACCAAATTATAATTTTTATAACAAGCATGGTAATCTGATTATGTAAACACTGCCATGATATAGATAGAATATTACAGACTGTAGCATTAAACACAAACAAAACCAATCCAATGATTTATCCAATACAAACACAGAGTGAAGCTGACTGTACAGAACACTGACCAGGCAGGTAAGGGGGATGTTCATATCTGTCTGTCAGTGAACAGCCTGTGGTAGATCCAGTTACAAAGTTGCTGATCTCATTCATATCCTGTGGATAACAAGTTGGAGTGACAATGACTGAGGCAGCCACATGACCTATTATTATATGAGTATAAATCTTCAAACAGAGTATCGTCTGGTATCTTACAATACAATTTGTATCACGATACACATAAAATTGTAGGAAATGATGAAATTACTGAAATACAGCTCTAAAACCTCCTTCTTCACACATTTATTTATCCTGTTTATTGTAATCTGAAAAACTCTGACGAAGAAAACCAAAAGAACAAAACAGTTATATATAAAGGGATGGTTATTAAATATAAGAGTTAGTAGCGAGTCCTCAGGAACCACATCCTTGTGTTCTGCCATGTGTCCAGGTGGTGCTTTTCTACCTCTGCTTCTTATGGGAAGTAACTGGTTAGTTCCTGTTTTAGTATTAGAGTATGGTGATCTCACAAATTGACGATTCAAGTATCATTTGTACCAAAGTATCGATGATATCGTAGGTAACGGTGAATCGTTTTTACTGTCCTAGTGTCTTACATTATCGTGATAAGAAATTTCTTTGATCACTTCACACAAAAATCAAATTAATGAAAATAAACACTCGTGACATAATCAACAATGTGATTTGTTCACTTACAATCCACATGCCATCAAACTTGACGGAATCCTGGAAAGTCTTCACCACAGTGGTCCAGTACTCCACAGACAGGGGGTTGGTGAAGTCGGGGAACACTGTCGAACCAGGCCACACCTAAGGAACAACTTCAAGCTGGACTCAACAAGTTTGGTTTATGGCTGCTTTGACCAGTAACTTAGCTATGTCATAGAAAGCTCTTCATTTATTTCTTGTTTAACCTCGTACATAGCAATATTCCAGCTATATACAATCGAATCTGGGCCACACAAACCAGTGATTGCTGTTATGAGCAATCATGACCAATGCTTGTTTTGTCCGTTTGTTTATTTGTTGTTTAACGCCACACTCAGCAACATTCCATCTATATGACAGCAGTCTGTAAATAATCAAGTCTGGACCAGACAATCCAGTGATTGACATCATGAGCACAATCCACACAATAGGGATATGATGACATGCATCAACCAATTCAGCGGGTCTGACCACCCAATCCCATTAGTCGCATCTTACGACAAGCATAGGTGACTAGATGACACACAATCAAGCAAGCCACCTAGTCTGAACATCAGATCAATTTAGTTGCTTCATATGATATGACAAGTGATGGTTACAGGGGACCTACTCTAACCTAGAAACACTTTACATACTGAGCATTCCATTGACAGGTAATAATGATGTACCTCTTAAAATGAGAATCGATCAAAATGGTCCTCTCAGTGCACAGCTTTTCAAGTGAACAAAATCATTCCAGCAGAATAAATGAATGTTGTTTTAGCAGCTTCTAAATCATCAAAGATTGACAAATAAACCATTTGTTTACAGAATCAGCAGTAACAATCAGACGAAATAACGATGATGTGACTGTTGTACTCACCTTCCCTACAAGTGGTTTGTCGTCGGTGTTGTTGATGTAGATGTTCATGGAGAGCCCCAGGTCATAGGGAAGGTAGCTGCCTGGCTTCTGGGAGTTGCTTATCCCAGGATCCTGGTGAACACAATGTTCATGACTCATTCATGTCACTTACCATGATTACAGCTATGTGATATTTTTTAGAGCAGCTGTACACAGAACAGCTTCCAAATTTTTAATTTTTATTACATCGCGGCGTTTATATGGGACAAGAAGAGGCCAAGACTAAATTAGACCGGACTAAGTATGAAGTGTGAATTTGATTTGTTTATATGTAATGAGCACAATCAAACAAACTATTCATTCTTCTCACCACTGCCAACACACTATTCATTCTTCTCACCACTGCCAACACACTATTCATTCATTCTTCTCAACACTGCCAACAAACTATTCCATCTTCTCAACACTGCCAACAAACTATTCATTCTTCTCAACACTGCAACAAACCATTCATTCTTCTCAACACTGCAATAAACTATTCATTCTTCTCAACACTGCCAACAAACTATTCATTCTTCTCAACACTGCCAACAAACTATTCATTCTTCTCAACACTGCCAACAAACTATTCATTCTTCTCAACACTGCAACAAACTATTCATTCTTGTTAACACTGCAACAAACTATTCATTCTTCTCAACACTGCAACTAACTTTTCATTCTTCTTAACACTGCCAACAAACTATTCATTTTTCTCAACACTGCAATAAACTATTCATTCTTCTCAACATTGCAACAAACTATTCAGTCTCCTCAACACTGCCAACAAACTATTCATTCTTCTCAACACTGCAATAAACTATTCATTCTTCTTAACACTGCAACAAACTATTCATTCTTCTCAACACTGCAACAAACTATTCATTCTTCTCAACACTGCCAACAAACTATTCATTCTTCTCAACACTGCAATAAACTATTCATTTTTCTCAACACTGCAACGAACCATTCATTTTTCTCAACACTGCCAACAAACTATTCATTCTTCTCAACACTGCAACAAACTATTCATTCTTCTCAACACTGCAACAAACTTTTCATTCTTCTCAACACTGCCAACAAACTATTCATTCTTCTCAACACTGCAATAAACTATTCATTCTTATCAACACTGCAACAAACTATTCATTTTTCTCAACACTGCCAACAGACTATTCATTCTTCTCAACACTGCAATAAACTATTCATTCTTCTTAACACTGCAACAAACTATTCATTCTTCTCAACACTGCCAACAAACTATTCATTCTTCTCAACACTGCCAACAAACTATTCATTCTTCTCAACACTGCAATAAACTATTCATTCTTCTTAACACTGCCAACAAACTATTCATTCTTCTCAATACTGCAACAAACTTTTCATTCTTCTCAACACTGCCAACAAACTATTCATTCTTCTCAACACTGCAATAAACTATTCATTCTTCTTAACACTGCAACAAACTATTCATTTTTCTCAACACTGCCAACAAACTATTCATTCTTCTCAACACTGCAATAAACTATTCATTCTTCTTAACACTGCAACAAACTATTCATTCTTCTCAACACTGCCAACAAACTTTTCATTCTTCTCAACACTGCAATAAACTATTCATTTTTCTCAACACTGCAACAATCTATTCATTCTTCTCAACACTGCAACAAACTATTCATTTTTCTCAACACTGCCAACAAACTATTCATTTTTCTCAACACACTATTCATTTTTCTCAACACTGCCAACAAACTATTCATTCCTCTCAACACTGCCAACAAACTATTCATTCTTCTCAACACTGCAATAAACTTTTCATTCTTCTCAACACTGCAACAAACTATTCATTCTTCTCAACACTGCCAACAAACTATTCATTCTTCTCAACACTGCCAACAAACTATTCATTCTTCTTAACACTGCAACAAACTATTCATTCTTCTTAACACTGCAACAAACTTTTCATTCTTCTCAACACTGCCAACAAACTATTCATTCTTCTCAACACTGCAATAAACTATTCATTCTTCTCAACACTGCAACAAACTATTCAGTCTTCTCAACACTGCCAACAAACTATTCATTCTTCTCAACACTGCAACAAACTATTCATTCTTCTTTACACTGCAACAAACTATTCATTCTTCTCAACACTGCCAACAAACTATTCATTCTTCTCAACACTGCAACAAACTAATCATTCTTCTCAACACTGCAACAAACTATTCATTCTTCTCAACACTGCAACAAACTATTCATTCTTCTCAACACTGCCAACAAACTATTCATTCTTCTCAACACTGCAATAAACTATTCATTTTTCTCAACACTGCGACGAACTATTCATTTTTCTCAACACTGCCAACAAACTATTCATTCTTCTCAACACTGCAACAAACTATTCATTCTTCTCAATACTGCAACAAACTTTTCATTCTTCTTAACACTGCCAAAAAACTATTCATTCTTTTCAACACTGCAATAAACTATTCATTCTTCTTAACACTGCAACAAACTATTCATTCTTCTCAACACTGCCAACAAACTTTTCATTCTTCTCAACACTGCAATAAACTATTCATTTTTCTCAACACTGCAACAATCTATTCATTCTTCTCAACACTGCAACAAACTATTCATTCTTCTCAACACTGCAACAAACTATTCATTCTTATCAACACTGCAACAAACTATTCATTTTTCTCACCACTGCAACAAACTATTCATTTTTCTCAACACTGCCAACAAACTATTCATTCTTCTCAACACTGCCAACAAACTATTCATTCTTCTCTACACTGCAATAAACTATTCATTCTTCTCAACACTGCAACAAACTATTCAGTCTTCTCAACACTGCCAACAAACTATTCATTTTTCTCAACACTGCCAAAAAACTATTCATTCTTCTTAACACTGCCAACAAACTATTCATTCTTCTCAACACTGCAACAAACTATTCATTCTTCTCAACACTGCAACAAAGTATTCATTCTTCTCAACACTGCAATAAACTTTTCATTCTTCTCAACACTGCAACAAACTATTCATTCTTCTCAACACTGCCAACAAACTATTCATTCTTCTCAACACTGCAACAAACTATTCATTTTGGGCATGTTTCTGAAATCTTCCCACCTGCTCCATAGAAATACAATGGATGCTCCTAAAGCCTATGTTATTCTAACTGTTTAACTTTCAGAATGTAATAGTTCAGTTGAGCGACTTAAGACGAAAACATGTACAAAACATGCCAAAAGCAGAAACAGAAATCCCCCAATTAGACCATTTCGACCCAAACGTCATGAACATGTAGCAAGATCATTTTACCTGTTTATCATTGTTAATGAACTCCATTACTCAACTTGCATGGATAACAGTATGAGGTCTACAAGGAGACATGGCCTACCACTATCATGATGTAGTGTTTGCCCTGGGAGTGCAGCGTGTCTATCAAACCCTTTTGGTCCCCAAACTTTGGTGATGTTGTGAAGTCTCGCTTGCCATCTGCGTAGTCAATGTCGTTCCACTGCACATCCTGAAAACAAACAGGGAGTGAGTGAATTTTGGGTTTGCAGGTCTTTCACAAATATGCAGCCCATCACATACAAATGTAGAGAATGGCTGCAGAAAATAAAATATACTGTGTCCCAAGGGATGCACTATGATATATCAAGAGCAGTAATGGGTATCTGTCATTTCATCAAACACTCATGACCACTGTCCACACGATCATTGATTCATTCCAGGCTCGTTAGTAATTATCTAAATGTACAGTACACTACACCATTTCATTACTTTACAGGACCCTCATATTGCCTGCAGGGACCCTTACAATTATTTAATCTGTTGATGAGGGTCCCATGGACACCCCCTATTGTAAATCAAGGTAAAAGTACTAAAACCCAATTGCTCATCACACTGAAAGCCTGGGTTCTATTCCCTACATGCATCCAATCTATGAAGACCATTTCTGGTGTCCCCTGCAGTGATATTGGTGGAGTATTGCTGAAAGCAGGGTAAAATGGCACTTACTGAAGCAATTCATTACAAACTGACAAATGTAGTGTCACTTTGATGTGGAAACTACAACAACCTTTCAACACATACCTGAGGCATTCCAGCCTTGGTGAGTTTATTCGCGATGTCCAGGGTTTTCTGAGCAGTGGTGTACCCCCATCGGCACTGATGGAATCCCAGACTCCAGTATGGAGGCATGAATGTCCGACCAATCACCTCTGTGTACTGGCTGACAACGTCCGCAGGTGTCGGACCGAGGAAGATGTAGAAGTCCAGAATTCCTCCGATAGTTCTCCATGTGATGGCTGGGCTAGGTTGTAGAATTGCCTCTGGTGATATGATAAGAGAGATTAAAATAATACATCAATAAAAAATAAAATCATATATATTGTTTTTATGGTTAAAGGTTAAGAAAAGAAAATACAATTCTCTAGCATTCATTGTTAATTTGTACAGAAAGCTAAAGTTAGTCCTTGTAAAGCACTAAAGACACAGGCATTCAATGATGCATTGTTTTGGTTATACATGTCTTAACCATGTTAACAGGTAAAGAGAATTTTCCAGAATCTTTATTTCTTGTTGCCAATATACTAATCAATATACTTATCATGGTAATGCCCAAGATGGAGCTTTTCACTGATTGAGTTAGTACGTATGACCCAAGAATTCTTTTCATTCAGCCTGATTTACTATATTAAATACATTATAATGCAGATTCTTAGCACCGTTCCACAAAGTGATCTTAGCGCTACGACTGTCCTAAGTCAGTATTAAACAGTGGAATTTACGATCGACTTAGCGCTAAGATTGCTTTGTGGAACGGGTCCCTGACACTTATTTTGTCAATTAAAATCATTTCAGAAGCAAAAGAACATCCTTATAATTTCCATGCTAGAACATGCTATTTATATAGCACAGGACCACTGCGACCAGCATGACCATGTGAAACCTGGCATGATTGGGGTGAATCTGGGCTTCTGGCTGCTGAGCATACTAGGGACCCATACAGTCACAGTAGGCAGACACTGAATGACCACTGCACTGCTGTGTCTCGAAACATAGGACCTGACTTCATACAGCTCAGCCTATCTCAAAAACATCAAAGTTTGTGTGTTGTTACTGACCCATAGCATTGCTGTTGAGCAGCAGGACTCCATGGCTGCTGGAATCATTCTCCATCACCAGGTAGAAGGGGTGGGATCCGTACAGGTTAGTGTTCTCCTGCAGAGAGCAGCACATTGAGCATTACATGACGGAAGATCTAGCTGTCTGATAGTGGTGTAGCGATAGAGTGAGGTTGGGATATGATACATATTCCAATACTATGGGAGCGATACGATTCGTATACAGTACTGTTATTTAATAAATTGATATTCCTTCTTTTCCCTGGCAAATCACAATCCTGAACAATTTTATTTTCACATTTCAGCGATTGATGATGTGGTATTGTTGGGCAGAAACATGTAGACTAGATGGCTCTGTAAATGTTATGCTGCTTATAGCCAACTGGGAAATACTAGTGAATCTTTGTAAGCTGGTTGTTGAAATAATTCACGTGTTTTTAAACCAATATAGCTTGTAATGTATCATATGACTCTTGATACAGGGATTGTAATTTTATGTATTGTATCATTACACCACTCCACATCACAAACAATCTCACCGCCCCAGCACCATTATGTCTGCTGTCTGCAGGTGACCTATGCAGCTATCATAGATATCAGGTCATAGTGTAGTGCCATGATTGATTTTATATGCATCATTAGTTACAGACCACAAACATCACAAAATCAATCTAGATTTCAAATAAATATGATTAAATTTTAAAGAAAAAGAATCTCAATCATGTTCATAAACGGAAAATTTACTTTTGAACATGACACACTACAAATCTTTTGACATACCAAATAACTTGACTAAATTTGAAACAAAATTATGTTTACTAATGTAATTGGAATAAACTCGCTATTGTGAAAGCAGACAACAAGTAAACATTCTGTAAGACCGATAAATTAGTGGACAATTAGCTACTGAAGTTGATCCCTAAAGCATTACTACATGCAGGACAGGTACGTTTCTTTCAATATGGAGAGTCTTACAGCTGGAGGCTGGTCTTTGTTCCAGAAGACAAAGCTGGTCCAGTTGACGCTGTGCATCAGGGTGTCACGATGTTCACCGAGCCCGTAGATGTATGTCGATGGCAGGAAGTAGGACAGCTGGAGAAACTGGTCAGTGAACATGAACGCTCCGGTGGTGTTCATCCTAGCAGGGAGAAGGGAGTGATCAACTGATGTTATATCACAGATGCAGATCAAGATTTTGAGTGGGGATGTTGGTGGAATATAATAAAGTGCATTTCAACACAACCCAGTACTGTAAAATGAAAAAGGATCTTTTGCTCATACACTGCAATTTCTTCAATCCAGATGTCACAGTTCCTTGTGAAAGGATTTGGATCATCAAACCTGTTAATAATAACATGAATACCATAAATCTTTGTTAGGGAGTACATGGGTGCTAAGTATTATGAAGGATATATCATGCATATGTTATGTCACGTTCCAGTGTTCGAAATTAAGCATGAAAGCTAAGCGATCCTTGTCTTAACCTTAATGACATAGGATTTAGGGAGCCAAACCCCCAAGGAACCTAACTTAATTTTGTACACTGGTAATCAAAGTGAGTTTCTGATTTAACAGGGTCAAATTATGAACATGAAAGGGAATGGTAGTTAAGAAATAGCATCCAACATACAGTGGCGTGTTACTACTCTTCCTCGTGACGGTCAGGTGGAACGGTTGGTTCTTTCCAGCAACCTGAACGCTGTACATGTTATTGTCGGTGTTCTCTCTAGGCACTGACTTCGGTCTCGACATCGGTACCTCCCATCTAGCCTCTGCAGGATCACTTATCTAGATAGGGACATTACAATATGTGAAACAGCCGGGAACAGCTATATCCAACAACTATCAAACCGTTTCACTGACAATTTTGCAGGGGGGGGGGGGGGGGACATTTTTTTTTATAGAAAACAGTTTTATTTGAACCATGAAAAAAAAGGTTTGGGACAAGTGATACTTGTACAAAATTTGACCCCCCCCCCCCCCCGTCAATAGTGAAGTGAGAAGTTTAACATTGTCATCTTAAATTTGATCAATTCTGCAGTCATTTCAAATCAAGGGCATTGGGTCTCATCAAGACATGTTGAACAATGTTAAATGAGCCAAGCATTGAAAAAGCTGAAAGTTTTTAAAAAATGTTTTCTTATTAAAACCTGATGTGGTTCACAACTGTAAAACATTTTTTCCTGCCTGCTTCAAAGAATGTCTTACCTTGATACGCAGCCTATAAGGGGTTTCATAGCTAATCTCCATGCTCAGTTCCGACACATCTCTTGGGTAGTACGTGGAAGTTGTTCTCTTCAGCGATACCTTCATCTCTGAAGGTGATTCCAAGTGTTGATCGATGACCTTGTACCCATCATAGTTTTTGGGATAATAACAGTAGGGAACGCTCATTTTGAAACCTGATGAAGAATTGTTTCCATGCTTGCCATCAGCTTGTCCCCAGCAACACCCTCGGGCAGTGCAGGACACCGCTGTGGCCAACTTTTCGGGATGACAGTCAAATCTCTCATTTTCAGGTAGAACATCACATTGTTTTGTGGACGAAGAGGCATCCTCTTCAATAGTCTTCATAAATTTAGAGTCAAGAATTGTGTCCACATCTCTCTGAATATCGGCAACAATCTTTTTAACTTCAATTCCACCATGCTGTCCACTGACCTTCAAATGAGGATCGGTTTTCTTCACAAACAGAATATTTCTCTCATTTTGAACTAGCGACTGAACATGGTATGGGTTAGATTCTAATGAATCGCCTTCATTCTCACGGATATCATCAAAGGTCATGTCCAAGTCAGTCTGGGTAAACTGGTCAAATGTGGAGGTATGTGGTTTGGTCCAGCCAAATGCAGTGTCTGTCCACCAGGTGGAGTTAGTGAAGTGTGAGTGGAGGAATGGGGGCGAGGTGAAATGCAGGATGACGATAAATCCCCCGCCGACAGTCAGTAACAAAACAAAAATCTCAAGCCGGTCCCGGAGAGTGAACCGAGTTGATAGCTTCTTCTCATGGTCATCATGTTCTTCCTCAAGTTTCTTGTACTTCATGGCTACAAACTAAGATGATCAACCTCTGAAAAGATACAACCAAAATGTCCAATATTTCCAATAATTCATAAATAAAGAATTTGTTTGATTACCATGATAACAGTTCTCTGAACACATTTAGCAGTTTAGTTTTTCTTGAATTTAGAATTATTGTGTAACCTACAGAGCACTCAGAGTGCAATTCAGAGCACTGCAATCACTATGCACTTAACATTCTAAGGTAATAAAAACAAAACCCCAAATATGAATTCTGAAAAACATCTGAAACGCAAGTATGAAAAGAAATATCTCCTTATTCCGTAGTACTGAACTCAAGTCTTCAGTGTCACGGGCCAATACTTTAACCACTTAGCTACCCCACCACCCTTGAAAATTAAGGTGAGGTGAAATTGCTTTAACGTCGCGTCCATTATTGCACTTATATAGCAACGTGCATGCACGTGTGTGTGTGGCTGCTTGTACTAGTCCGGACTGATGCCGATTTATAGTGCTAGCTCACTGAGATACCATGCCGCAGTTTAACATGAATACCCCACTCAGACACAGTATACCGACTCGAAAGGACCAGTCCTTGTTTTAGCCCCTTAATGCCGAGCGCCAGATAGGGTAACAACAAGTACCATCTTTTAACGTCTTTTGGTAGGACGCGGCCGGGGATCGAACCCCGAACCTTCCGCTCTCCAGGCGGATGCTCTACCACAAGACCACAGAGACGGTCTTTTAAATTAAGTGGTAGGCCTAGAATAGGTACTCACACAACATGAGTACAGGGTGAACTAGCCACAGCCAACACTCTGTGCAAGTCTGGTAAATATGTAAAATACAGTTTGAGTCAATTTCTGTAAAAACGAGATAACAGAGTAGCAAAACAGTGTACACAGAAGTGCTAAATTTGGTTGTAAAATTGTATTTTGGGGAAAAACAGACAGACCGATTGTAATTGTAATGACTGAACTAAGTGAGCATTGCTTAGTTGCATGTGTTTTTTAAGTGAATTAGCCATGTGATTTCTCCTGCATGTCTTTTCAAAGATGCTTATCTAGTGCATTTACAATTTTTCCTGAGAAAAGTCTGTTTTGCTCATCATATTTGGAAATAAGTGTCTCTATTCTGGAAGCAACAAACAAGTTGTGATGACATGCTCTTCAACATGTTTAATAGGGATGGGTATTGGAGGTTAAAGTGTATCACAATGTTTTGCAATGCACAAGGCCGTATTGCAATATGTATCACGATATATTGTACAATTCTAAATGGTTAATTCAGAAGCAGTCCTATACATTCAGGTGAGAACTGAAGTTCATAAATGGAATAAAACAAGATGCTGGTACAAATAATGTTTACTCATTCAATAAATATGCAGCCATCTTGGGGCCCCGGATACTTGCTCCTGTGCAGCAAAGGCATTTGGCAAGTATATAACATTAAACACATGATAAAAATCCCAAATTTGAAACAGACAAAGTGATGCAGGTCTCAGATGTTTACAACTTCGGTGAAACCCACGAGCACAGGTGTGGTGCTGAAAAACCTGGAAACATAATCAAGGTGAATCGGGATTTGTACCCATGATCATAGGTTTCTGGCAAAGGGACACAACTCTGCATAGCGACTTTGATAACTTGGTCACCCGTTGTCCCTTCTTAGGCTCTAATCCTACAGCATGCGAATAGCGACAGCCACAGTCAGCAACCTGAGCCAATTAGTGCAATAACAGCGCCTGTTAAACTAGATTCTTGCACCACGACGGTAGTCAAGTACAGACAACGCATCATGTCTTTAAAAATATTCAACTCAAGGGTGGATCAGCATTTTTAATAGGGAGGGGTCCAAAATATCACAATCCTCTCTAAGAAAATTTTACTGCTTACAACATATTACATCTGGGTTTCAATAGGGGGTCCAGGACACAGGAACTCAATATTGCTCTATGTAAAAATATACGCCCCCTTTACTACATAAACGACGTCTATTATGTAGTATAGGGGGCGTATATTTTTACATAGAGCAATATCGAGTTCCTGTGGTCCGGGAGTAGTGCACTTTACTGGGCTCACTTTTTCAGATCCGATTAGCGCTGTGGGGGCTCAAATGCGCTTCATTGGCTTACTGGCTTGGCAAATTAGTGCATTAATTAGACGACACTCTACCACTGGACCAAGCGCGCCATCATATGTAATTAGTGCTCGACTAATGGGTCATTTGCTCCCCATTAACATGCATGCGCAGTTAAGTAAACAATGATTGTGCATGCGTGTTACTGACGTCTCCATTCATCTTTTTGAGGAAGCCACACCTGCCATTTTCTGTCAAAATGAGTAATCAATCCAAACGAAATGTCTTAAATCGGACTATATACTCTGATAGGATTACCCTCATTGGATAACTGGAACACTGTAAAAACGAATTTGTCAGTTTATGGCTAACCCTAGCCCTAACCAGGTTAACCCTAAGGATCGCAAAGGGGTGTTGGGTTGGAAAGGCGTGTCAATACCTTAAGATCGAAATGGGGTATTGGATCGGATTTTTTTTTATAGAAAACAGTTTTATTTGAATCATGAAAATACAAGTTGGGGACAAGTGATACTTGTGCAAATATTTGCCCCCCCCCCCCCCCCCCTCCGTCAAAAAAAAAGTTAACTACGGCCTTGGCCCAGGCATGTCAGTTCCATAAGATCGAAAAGGGGTATTGGATCGCCAAGGCGTGTCAGCTCCCTGAGACGAATGCGTGTGCATTCAAGCGAGAGCCACGATAACGGTATTTAACTGCGCCCGTTTTACTGCATTGTACCGTGTGCGAAATACGCTACAGTCGGAAAGCGCACGTTAAATCTCCTATATCAGTCAGTCACAGCATTGTTGCCGGGGATGAGAACCTCCAGGACCACCCCACTGGATCTTTTTTATATGCAACGGAAAATGTGTAGTCGTCTTTATCCGACACCAGGACTTGGTTTACTAACCGGATCTGAACGACTCATAACTGCAATCATCATTGCTTCAACGCGATTTTCACAGTCGAGCTTTTTTATTTACACCTTAGTGTCATGTATTTAGAAAGGCCAACGCATCTAACCTGTACTGTGCTCGTTCTTGCGTACATCAGCTGATCAGACAGTATCTTATCAGCTGCACTGCGGCTACACTTTGGCTTGTTTATCTCGGAAGTCATGTGCCTTTTAACCGCACATGCGCACTGAGAAGCAGAGACGCATCGAGTTGAGTGACCCGCGACCCACTCGCTGGTCATGAATGAGTCAATGCTGACGAAGTGTGATTTTTAAAGCAAAAAAAAGGAAAATAACATTTTATAGTTATTGATATTATTTTATTTGTGAACATTGCATGAACAATGATTTTAACAAACTGACAAAAATGCAATTAAACAATTAATAATGTAATTAAATATGTAAAAATGAAGAATGAACCTTATAAATGTACACACTGCTACCAAATTGAAATATAATTATTTAAAATCAATGCAAATAAACCTTTTTGTCAGCGATTAACATATATGCGAAAATGTCCATGGTGCCATCTAAAATCAGTCAAAGGTTTATTTATATGACATCATAATTGTATTCCCCTGGAGACAATCGAGTATTTGAAATTATGAAAAGAAATATTTAGATTTTAATTTGAATATTTTCATTTTGTAACGGTTCGTGACGTGTTTGGTAACGGTATGAACATGCATGGTAACAGTATGGACATTCGTGCACATATCTAGGTTTTCATAAATATGTATTATATAAGGACATGGCTCCATTATGACAGGCTCCACCATCATGCATGATAGCGGAGCTTCAAATTAAGATAAGAGATATTATTGGATGAAATGGTCGCGGATGTGGAGGTACTGGTGGACTACGGCAATGAGCTTAACCCCTGTTAAGCAACCCCAACTGCAGCAACCGCTGCCCTGCAACAACCGTTGCCAAGCAACCCATGTTGCTTACCAATGCAGCACCTGCTGCCCTGCAACTACCGTTGCCAAGCAACCCATGTTGCTTACCAATGCAGCGCCCGCTGCCCTGCAACTACCGTTGCCAAGCAACCCATGTTGCTATGCAGCTATCGCTGCCAGGCAAGTACCATTGCCAAACCATGAGCGAGGGCAACTATTGTTGCCAAGCTGACCATCCGCTGTAAAGCGGACACTAAGCCATCTGCTGTAAAGCAGAATGGATAAATTGGTTCCTGCTGTAAAGCGGGTAACCCTATCCTAAATAATTTATAATTTGGGATGTATCCCAAGACGCCAAATGTAACTTGTAATGCAGTCCACCAGCACCCCGCCACAAGCACCAAGGTGCTTCCCCACAACCACGACCATTCGCGCTCATGTACACCCACCGTGTTATCCTATACTGAAAATGAATCACTAAATGCTATTACTGAATAAATGAATTGGTACATGTATGAGGGTATTAATATATCATGTAATGAGAGATCGGGTTGGTACATGTATGAGGGCATTAATATATCATGTAATGAGAGATCGGGTTGGTATATGTATGAGGGCATTAATATATCATGTAATGAGATCGGGTTGGTATATGTATGAGGGCATTAATATATCATGTAATGAGATCGGGTTGGTACATGTATGAGGGCATTAATATATCATGTAATGAGATCGGGTTGGTACATGTATGAGGGCATTAATATATCATGTAATGAGAGATCGGGTTGGTACATGTATGAGGGCATTAATATATCATGTAATGAGATCGGGTTGGTACATGTATGATGGCATTAATATATCATGTAATGAGATCGGGTTGGTACATGTATGATGGCATTAATATATCATGTAATGAGATCGGGTTGGTACATGTATGAGGGCATTAATATATCATGTAATGAGAGATCGTGTTGGTACATTGGATTTCCGGATAGATGACTGTACATGGTTTTACTTTAAAAAAAATTAAAAAAAGATTTTCCGCATAATCCACAACTGCTTATGTAGTATCTTTGTAAATCAATGAATTTGCTTTTTGTTGGCACAAATTTACAACATTTCAAACATGGTAGACCTCATGTGGTTGCAAATTAATTTCTTCAGTCTTCAATTCAAAAATGAATCTAGTTATACTCAAAAATACCCAGCAACAGATTACTTTTACAAACTGTTGCAGGGATGAGTGATGTTAAATAGACAAAATCAAATTTAACAACAGTTTTTCAATTTTCAATTACATTGCAGGGGCACGGATGGCCATGCGCCGCAGTTCACTATGCAGAGTTGCGTCCCTTGGGCACGCCAGAAACTTATGATCGTGGGTTCAAATCTATGTTCGCCCCGATTTTGTTTTTGATTTGTCAGCAACATATCCGTGCTTATGGGTTTCACCAATGTGTTTACCGTCAGAGGCCTGCATTCCTTTGGGCTTTCCTCCCACATTAAACTGAAACCGTCGTGATATAACCAGAATGCTGTTCATTGCAGCGTCAAAACCAACTCACTCACATACAGGGTGCCGCTTTGGGCAAGCTCAGTGTCGTGTTCTCCAGGAAAAATTTCCCGTGCCGTTTTGACCTGACCCCTACTAGTAGGTAGAAATGGCTCGATCAGCTTTCGGTACTGCATAGTTGCTGGCTACAGTGTAAATCACCTCATAGTCACTCATTCACTTCATGGGGACAAGTCTTCTCTTTTGGACAATTTCCATGAATTATAATGTTCTAAGATGTACCAACGTCAATATTTTGAGCTGGTGAAATTCGACACAGATAAGGTAAGGTTGTTAAAGCACAAGACAAAATGTCCGTACAACACGGTGTATTTTAATGTAGATATTATATACACACCCAATATCTTTCTTTTGGGGAGTGGTAATATATACGTAGGAGTGGTGGGTCGGAGAACGAGTTCATATCCGTTTGTGTTTTAAATATAAGACCATGGACATGTATATATCATTGTTATTATATACTGATCTTGTGGATAACGCGTCTGTCCGGAGAACGGTAGGTCGCTTGTTCGATACCCGGTCGCGACATACCAAACGAGGTTAAAAGATGGTACTTGTTACCATTGGGTATCCATGTTAAACTTAGCTCAGGGAAAAAGGCCTAGTGAATTCTACCGACTTGATTAGTAACAGCGACCAGGAAATGAGTAAGGGGCCGACAACTGACTTTCACAAAAATACATAGTTGCAATGTGTTTTCTAAAACATTTATTTTGGCTCATAGTAATTTTTTTTCTCATTTTGCAATTGTAGTTGAAAAAAATAACTGGTCTCAATACACAGCACTTATTCAATTAGTAGTCCTTTGAAATATGGATAGTAATCTTGACTAAGTGAATAGTAAACTTGACTAATCTACGGAAGACACCTATTAGTTTAATTAGTAAAATAATTACTATCTGGCTAGTAAAGTCTACCAAACAAGTTAGTGTCCGAGTGGACAGTAAAATTCACTTTTTAAGGTAGTAATTTTACTATTTATGTTGCGGCATGATATCTCAGTGGGCTAGCACTATAAAACCCATATTAGTCCGGACGAGTACACGCATCCACACGCACAGTGTGTGCAATAAGTATAAATAATCTTGAACGTAAAACCCCATTTCATCTCACCACATTGTCATTTCAACTTTATCATTAGCTTCTGTGCATGTGAAAATCAAACACCGACATAATTCATATTTCACAAAGTGACAGTAAATGTATGAGAAAAGTCATCAAAGGGATATGAAAACATTACATCACATTTCAGTGTCAAATTGCTTCCAGTTTGAATAAGATGCACACTTCGAGACTTCGTCAAACGCAAATCTTCTCTACAGGTCACGTATATGTGTGATTCATAATCTTGAACTCTCAGTGTATTGACTGGATCTGGACCCAGTCAAGTCTGCCCTCGGCTGATGACACACCTTCCTCCACATCCTGTAGACTCGGCGGTTGGCCACGTATGACATGAAGATGAACGCTCCCTGGCACCCATTCAGGACAATTGAGATGTAGGATAAAGCGCTGATGGCGGTAACCTCGGCCAAAATAGCCAGCCCCCAAAACACTCCCGTCAGAGTCGACAGTTTGATATAGACAAACATGTTTCTCCTATCAGGCGAGGATGTTTTCTCAATTTTACTGATCTTGGATATCGTACAGATAGTGAAGGCGAATAGGAACGTATTCACCGCAATAGTGATTCCAAGAGGAAGAACGAACGCCAGACCATTGACCATTGGATCGCTTATGTAGCATAACCGTTTTCCATACCCAATGGACGTACCGTTAGAAATTGCATAGTTAGCACCAATGGTTGCTGAAACAATTGCAGATGCAAATCCATAGACGTAAAAGGCATACTTCAATAGAGTTTTCCAATGAACGGAATGGGCAACCCTACCCTTTGCAGATGAGGCAAAGACTCTGAACATATGGAAACAACAGACGTTCATCCAGAACACCACCGTCAGCCACAAGAAATGGATGGCAACACCAATTATTTGGCAGGCCATTTTGTTCCCCGTACCTCCAGCACCGAACTGGAATGCTGCCTGAGCTACAAACAGCGACATGGCCAGGAACATGGTATTCTTGTTGGGGAGGCTCCGTAGGGAAGAAAATGTAAAGAAAGTAATCAACGTTAAAAGGAGACAGATCAGAGATATGCAAGTGCATACCAGTGACAGATAGCCCTGTATACGCGACATATTATTTGAGGTTTCGTTTACATATTCCTCTATATTATCCTCGTCGTTCAATGCTAACAGCAGTGTATGAAGGCATACATGGATTTCGTAATATGCATGGAAATACTCTCCCTTTCGCAAGGTCGCATTGCCGGAGAACAGCCGAAGAGACCGGTCAGGAGATATGGTGAATTCTCGTTCATCCAGCGTGATATAGGCGCACACAGGTGAATGAAGAGGTATTCTCATATCCGGATTGTGCGGAAACCAATCGAATAATTCAGAGAGCCTAAACAGCCATGTACCATATGCCTCATCCGAGCAACATATCCTAGCTAAAGGATCAAATGTGAAAATATGCCAGTAATCTGGATAAGTCCTATAGTCATATTGTTCGGGTTGAAGAACTGTAACAATATCATTGTGGTGAAACACCCACTCGCTCCATGTTTTATTCAAGAGGCAAGACTCGTATTCAGAACGTGAATCATTCCTCAGAGATCTGAACTCAATGTATATTCCGACATTG